CTCTCAGTGGTCGCTTAAACTAGTCACCACAGGGACCAGCGACTAAACTTTCCTTACTGGCCCGCATCCCCACTTCAGAAATAAGTGTGACAGTTAAATGAATGGTCTTCATTCTGCTGCACTTTGAGCCGAGCACAATGTAAAATGAGCGAAGAAGCAGGCCAACTGCTCCGAATTTATACCTCCGCTGGCCAAACTGGCCAAAGTCCCATCTCTCTGCCTCGTTGTCCTTCTCATTGCTTTCTTATCTCATTGCCATTGACATGCTATGAGCCATTTTATTTATTATTATTTCATTTTTATCGCTCCATTGCTTATTCCATTTATCTGTCTGGTGTGGGGCTTCTTCCCCCTGTTTATTCTACACAGTGTCCTCAGTTTCTGTATTTTCTCAAGGTGAGATTGTCAGGTGAAGCTCAGTAAGCTAGTGTCCAGCCCTGCAAACTGCAAAGGATAAAGCTTATAATTGAATGAATGAATGGATCTAAAATATTATTCTGTTCTAGCAAAATCATTGTAAGTTTATGTTATTAGCTTATTGTGTCATTACAACTAAGAAGATGCAGTATAGAGGGTTTTAGTCCCAAAAGTTCTCGAATCACATTGTCCTTCCAAGTTCCAAGTTTTGCGTCCGTCACTAGGACGGGATATTTCCGAGTTTTAACTTTGGGGGGTGTTGGCAGGAGAAACACTGGAGAGTATCTGTTCTCTCAAACATATCCTCTGGATCATTTCAGGAGATTGTCCAGAGTTTAGTTTAATTTGCGTGTCTGAGAGCAGCTTATCTAAGACCCTGAAATGCTACTAACAAATGACATGAGCAAAACTAATACTCCAGAGAGTCGTTTGTGTTACAGATTATGAAAAACTTACATCTTTAAAGTTTTTATTACAATTAAGTCTGTAACCTATTCTGGTCATGCAGTTATGAATATAAAACCAGGTTGGTGTTTGCTGAGTTTGCAGTGTTTCTACATACATAGTGTCTGATTGAATAAATGCACTCATGCATTTACTCGTGCGATAAATGTGTTAAACACATCGGCATTCTCCCAGAGACGTGTGTTGTTATGTGCCTCGCTATTGATTTTCAGGGAAAGTCCTCTTAGGAATGTCAAAGTGTTTTACTTTTTCCAGATGGAATATATTGATATGCTCCCCATGTGCTTGTAAACATTTCCAGTTCACAGCAAGGAGAATCTTATCATGGTGTCTGACTTTGTCAACACTATTAAATTTAGAGGGAGTCTGAGATTAATAACTTCCACAAAATAGGGAGAGGTGCAGGCGTAGGAGCTTACAGAAAGATTAATGAGTGTCAGAAACAATGAATTTTCCATCAGATTGCAGAATGGCATATGTTTCTTGTACGGTCTCCCCTGTTTCTTCATCAGATAAGAGCTTGGTCAAGGCTAACCAAGAAATGACCTATTTTACTGATAAACATTTTGTCCTTTCTGCAGACTTCAGATTAACACTGACCTATTTTTAAGACAGAAATAGTACTTTTTTTCCACCAGGCTTCATTCCACCCTCAGCTATAGGTATTGTAATGAGCAAAATGGAGACCATTTTTATGAAACGTTTGGCCTGGCTGTAGAGGAAATTCAAAGAAAAGTGCTGTGCAGTTATTTACAAAATTGCTCTTGTGGAGGTTGGTTTCAGAGGGAAATATGTAAGACTTGCCAATCACACTTTAGTCTGTGTACCTAATACTAAAGATACAGACTACACACACACACACTCACAAATTGCATCGTCTGCAAATGTGTCATTACTGTTTTGATGGATGTGCAGCATTTTTCAAAAATCAGCAATGAGGAAACACACGAATGCAGCATTTGCAACGTGAAGAAGCCAAAAGGTGTTTTTGAGAACAACAGAAATAAATGAGGTGTGTGTGGCGTGAACAATATCGCCGGCGACTCCAGCTGGGAAGGAAACCGTGGCCTGTTAGCTGTTAGATCTTTGCTGTAATAGACAGGATGTGTCAGCACACAACGTGTTTGACCAGACTAGAGGTGAAGGAGAGGTAAACACTACAGGGGGAGCTGATTTCTCAAGGAGCTACGAAGTGTTCTTGTCAGTCAGTCTCTGTGTCCTTAAGAAACTCTGTGTGACCCAGTCAGAGCACAACTGCTCAGGGCGCTTTTACAAAAAGCTGCAGTCCTCCCTCACCTACGTCTCCGGCTGAATCATGACATGAGGTGAATGAAAGACATGCAGGACAAAATAGCAAAATGTCTAATACGCCAAAAATAAAAATGCTTTATAAACAGTGCTGTCTCTCAGCAGAAATGACAATTTATGAAATTGATGAATACACAAAAATGCATGACAATCAGTCGTAGTGTTTTAGAAAAATCTGTCGATTTTTAATATTTTAGAATATTACAACAATGTGTTATTGCTGGTATTCTTCTATCCTTAAATAGATGTTTTAAAAAAGTCAGTATTATGAGCAAAGACTTCCTCATACTGTCCGTATAGTCTCTTCAGCTCCTTTATTCACTTTACAAAAAGTCAGTGGCCAGTTGATGTGACAAAGATGATAATGGTATATTTTGATTGCTCAGTAACATGTCATTTAGTCGATTTAACTCCACTTAAACTTCAGCTCATGCGAGTGAAATCTTGTGAACATTGCCAGAGAACCCAGATGAGATGTGTAAATTAACATCCTCCACAGGCAGACTTTAAAAAGCTCCATCTTACCGCAGGACCATGAGGAGTAAACCCTTCAGAGTTGTGTTCTTCATCTAGATTTTCTGTTTTGCTGCTGCGTGCTGGGAGTTTGCAACATCTGGGCCATACATTTGCTATGAATAACTTGCAGGCTACAATTTTGCTGTGTTTCGAGGATTCGTTTTGGTGTGTATGTGTGCATAAACTTTTCAACTGTGACATTTGAAATTAGGACTTATTTTGGAGATTGTGTTTTCATCTGTTTCTTTGTTTGATTGTTATTTAGCAAGATTACACAAAAACTACCTGACCGATATTTCTATGAAATTTTATGGAGGGGTGGGGAAAGACTAAAGAAAGGAATAACATTTTGTTGTGGATCCAGGTTAGAGGGAGGATCCACAAATAGTTTTTCACTTTCTTTAACAGTGCAAGCTTGTGACCTGTGACTACCATCAATATAAAGCTGAGACACATGATGTGGCTTGTTTTAATTTAAGGGGACTGTTGCATGGGCCTCGGGGGATATTTGCACACATTTTCTTTCCTGAAATACCACTCTTGTAAAATTGCCACCCTCCGTCTTTTTGGTGCCGTTTATTCATCCTTCATACGATGTAAGTAAGTACAAGTGGGTTAGAGTTGGAGTTATGAACAAGGAGTAAGCAGTCAGTTGATATCGTAAGGTCGACAGAACACTCAGGCTGTAATCTTCTCTGCAGGTAAACTGGTTGACTGTTTCCTAGTGCGAACTAAAGCCAAAAATCCTCTCAGTGTACTCAAGCTTTTTGGACCAGGTTTTTCACTTTAGAAAACGATTGCTCCATTCAGCTTTTAGCATTCAATCATTCTGTAGTATATCAGTTTGGAAGGTGCTAACATGTCTGGTTCTGCTTGTGTTTGGTGCTTTGTCTTATTTGGGCAGTGCTGATTTTGCAGTCTGTGCAATAGGTCCTTTTCAAAATCTGACGTCAGTGTTACTCCGTTGGAGTCTCAAGCCTTTGGAAAAAAACTCTTCTGTCCTCATTACACTTAACTAAGTGTCTCCACCTGAGGACAGCTAAGCACTTTCCCTTTTGTAACCACCGGAGACAAACAAAGCGCCCGCCTCTGGAGTGATGGGGAAAGGAAACTCTTTACCAATCTGCTGTGCCGCTCTGAATAGCATGTCATTTTCACAGAGGGTGAAAGTTGAAAGTTATTGACGGGAGTTCTTCCCAGGCTCTGTCAGACCGATTAGAAGGATTTACACATTTTCTTGTAATAAGCCATTTTACAGCGATTAATGGTTTGGATTATTTGCAATATGCCGTGATCCTTTGGCTATATGTAACATTACATAATTACCCATGACTGTAATCTCATACACAGCGAAGACAAGACACAAGTACAGATAATCACACTGAGGGGAAATTAGTTTAAAACTCTCTGTTTACAACTTTGGTGACATTTTTTATCATAACCAGCCACACTGCCACATTCTGGCATAATTTCACCTGTTAAACTGACACCTCAGAGTATTGAAAGTCCTCGGTTCCCTTTTTTATTCCTCTGTGAGGAAGTGCAGTTCCCCCTTAAGGCCTCAAAGAGATGTTATCTTGCTGTTAACCTGGTATAAGAAGAGAAATCCAACCTCAACATTTATAAACCAAGAATTGTGAACCACAAGTTAACAGCTGGACAACCAAGCAGTTAGTCTTATAAATGTTTGGTTAGCTGTGATTTCCCACTCCTCTCTTAACCCTGACCAGCAAAATGCATAAAACTGGGGGATGTTGAATATGTCGCCAGTTATTTGAAATTGAAAACATTTTAATCATTTAACTGCAGAACTAAAGTCCATGGTGACTATAATTTGCACAGTAGATCCTGTAGTAAAGTGTGGTTTACATATTAATACTGTAAAGACCATTCCTGCGTAAAGGAAAT